GCTCAATAAATAACAAAGAAGACCTTTGACCGGAACTTTTCAAATTTTGTCTGGAAGATTTAAACTAACCGACATGTTGACCGGCGAAATAAAATTGAAACCCTGCCGCACGGTTCCCTCGTCCCTTGGAAGAGGCGGAGAAATGGGTGTTTTTCATCTGCTGGTGGACTACCGGCATAATATGTACTACAGCGTCTCCAGCGCTTTCGAGCGGTCTCGTGTGAACTGACACGTTTCTGGTGCTTATTGCATGTGGACGGAAGACATTTTTCATATTGATTTTGGTCCGTTTGCGTTATCGTCCTCGTGTGGCTCCAGCCTTAAGCACCACCCTCAGGAAAACATTTATATTGTTTTAGGTTTGCTGTATTTGTTTTTGAGTGGAATGAACATTACTGCAATGCTTTTAGACATTTGGTCTGGTTAATAAATTATTGGATGTTTAAGCGTTTATGTTTTTTTGACCTTGGATATAGTAGTTACCTCAAAGCCTTACATCAGTATTTTTTTCATAAACTAATGGAGATTCCAAACATTGATGACAATGAGCAGCCTCCTCCCACTAGATGTCCATGTGAAGCTTTAGAACTCAAGAGTTCAAGTTATTGTTACTGTTGAATATTCTCCACAAACTGACTACCGGACAGGTGCTGGAGAACACGCCATGCAAATTGATAATATATAACACCCGTGTGTGTGTGTGTGTGTGTGTGTGTGTGTGTGTGTGTGTGTGTGTGTGTGTGTGTGTGTGTGTGTGTGTGTGTGTGTGTGTGTGTGTGTGTGTGTGTGTGTGTGTGTGTGTGTGCGCGCGCGCGCGCACTGCCTGTTCTTCTGCACTTGTCTTTAGTTGGCCTCCAGGGTAAAGAGAGATGAACATGTTTCACCTCTCATCTTTGCAGGATTTCTCCAGCTCTGTTGAGACAAGCCTCTTACGGGACAATCAAGATAGGGACCTACAACTCTCTGAAGAGGCTGTTTGTCACTCATCCTGAAGGTGAGGGTTTCCTGCCTCTTCTAGCTTCCTTACAAAACTCTCTTACAATCTTTTCTCATAAGGCTAAAACATTTTAATGTATATTTTTGTATTATCTTTAAAGGTGGGGTCATTTATTTCAGAAACTCTTTTTGTTATATTCCATGGAATGCTCTTAACATCCCAAATACATAAGAAATATTAGAGTAATTATTGTGTAATCATATGTGCAGAACATCTTAATTAAAAGTGGTAAAGCTGTGCCGTTTTAGAACTTGAAGCATTTTCAGGGGGTCCGCGGGGTCTTAAAAAGTATTAAACTGCATTTTCCAAAGTATTACATTTTGTAGCTTGTTTGACCCAGCCCTTTGTATAATTTTCTGTATGTGGCCCTCGGTGAAAGAAGTTTGGACCCCCCTGATATAAACCTAATTGCCACTCGTTTTCTCAGTATTTTTTAGGCAGAATAGATTTTATTTTACAGGGTATCCACGGGGTCTTAAAAAGTATTAAAAGTTGACATTTTGTAGCTTGTTTTCAATAAGTATATAAATGGTCCAAAGAGGTTGTATTCTACAGTCTGCCTGAATGTAATCATTGCGTGGGTGTTCGTAGTTTATTTATGGCATCCCGTTGGATTTGACGTCATCTGAACAGGACATCTCACGCTCACTGCTTGATGGCGTGCGAAGCTCCGTTTACTCCGGTTGCTAAGCAACATCGTTATGGAGAAATGCAAGTTTGCGTCGAAATGGTTGGAAGATAAGGAGGAAGGACAATCCATACTGTATATAGTCAATGTGAGGTAAAGTGTGTCGCCAAGGTAACCGGTTAAAACTCAAAGTGGCGATGAGGTCTTAAAATGTATGGAGAGGGTCTTAGAAAAGGTCTTAAAAGGTTTTACATGTGACTTCAGGATTCCTGCGTATACCCTGATTTTGCAGATATGTTCCAAATTGTCTGGTTCATTTATAAAGAAAATCTGTAACATACACTTTGGTTTTCCACCGAGCTTATTGTTTTATAATCAAAAAATCCTATTGACTTTTTGTAGAGCAGTGCGATGCTAACTTTAGGGTCAGCTTTCAAAACGCGTCATGTCCCCTGCAGCAGTCATACTGTCTGTGCCTTAAAGCTGCACGCTACTCATCCACTAACAACAAAGGGTTTTATGTGTCGTGACGACCTGTGTTGAAGCGCTGTGCACAGACTGGGTGTGTTAACCTGCCGGCACTCATTTGCAAGCTAAATAAGAGACAAAGAGCTTCCAGTAAGGAGGGGAGTGATGGAGAGGGAAGGGTGGAGACAGAAAGAGAAGCAGGGGGGGGGCGTACAGCAGCTGTAAGTGCTTCCCCCCCCTCCTGTCCAACATCCATCTCATATGGAACGCACAATTCAATATATTAAATTAAACAAAGCGTCAACGTGGTTTCTGTTCAGCTAGAAGCTTTAAATCAGTCGCTGTTGAAAAGTTATTGTATATTAAATAAATTATAGGATTTTCCAGCAAAAACGATAAACAAAGAATATTGGCCAATGGGACATGTTGTTTTTTTAAATTGTGTTTTACAGAGCTACACGGAGCATCGTCTGTGGCACTACCTTTTTTGATGTAGGTCAAAATATACTCTAGATGTGATTTAACTTTATTTACACTACACATGATTTAAAATGTGGTTACAGGAAAGGGAACATGTGGAAGATATGGACTTATACAAATGAAATATGCTTCACTTGAGGGAGAAGATCAGTATGATTAGTTACAGCCCTATATATGAAGAATCTTTACTGTGGAGTTTTGGGTTTCCTTGAATAACAGCTTCATAATCAGCAGAGTTTTAAACAGAATTAGATTTATTGCCATTTAATTTCATTAATAAACACAAGACATTTAAATATACAAAAATAAAATATCTAAATTTGAAATAGGATAGCTGTGCCGTTTTAGAAGTTGTAGCATTGTGCAGACATTTGCAAAATTGTCCAATAAATCTGAAGAATACAAAAGTATAAGAATTGCTCGTTTCTTAAGTGCAGTAAATCAGGCACTTACCAGGGTTCCCACGGGGTCTTACATTTGATCCAAAATATAAGAAAGGCCTGTGGTGATTTAGGAGATCTTAAAAAAGATGGGATTTGAAAGGTACTTCTTTCCATCACGTCTAAATGTGTTTTGGGGGAAATGTCCGGGCTGCAAAGTAACCAGAACGATAATAGCCTTTCAGTTCCCCCCAGAAGGTAGCTCTTCACACACACACACACACACACACACACACACACACACACACACACACACACACACACACACACACACACACACACACGGTTAGGCAGTTCTGTTATGTTCAGTCAAAGTCTTATATTGAACGTGAATACAGTTACTTTGTAAGTCATTATGGGACGTCCTTCTTCTTTCATTGCAATTCTCCTTCGTACTTTCTTGCCGTGAAATAGGTCTTTAATTCTATTCAAAGTGGTCTTAAAAAGTCTTACATTTGAGTTGGTGAAACCTGTGGGAAGCCTGACTTACTTGTCCCATAACAACCCTAACAGCACAATAAGGACACATTGTAAACAATAGCAGGCTCAGTTGAGTTGCTCTGACCTCATCCTCTGTGCAGAGCGATACATTTATCAAAGGTTGTCCGGCGCCGTTGAGACTGACAGGAAGTCGGGACTAAGGCTCCGTCTCTTCCTATGTGACCTCCGTCTGCTTTATTTATTTGTCATTTCCCATTGACTCGTTCCTTCTTTATACGACTCCTCTTTTCACTGTCTCTATCCTAACCCCCCCACCCCTCTTCCTTCCACTTTGCCCTCTGCTCCTTTCAATATTTGATGACCAATTAGAGTACATCAGACAGATACAATTAATAATAGAGTAGATGAAGGTATGAGAATAAAATAATAACCACTCCTTTTACCAGTAACACTCTTAAAGGGGACCTATCATGCAAAATGCACTTTTTGATGTCTTTTCTACATAACCATGTGTCCCCGGTGTGTCGGGGAACTCACGCAGCGTCAGAAAATAAAACCCTCTCTCTTTTCCTCCGTACCCAAATCTCTAAAAACGGGGGAACAACGGAGCTGATCCAGATTTGCGTCCGATATGATGTAATATCTGAAATGTGGACCCACGGCCCGATCAGAAACGTTGCTATCAGAAACAACGCCCGACTGTTTTGGACGTAATATGGTCGGTGTTTACATTAGCATCGCTAACACTCAGAGCTAACCTGTACTGGAGAGTATGTGTGTGAAGAAGCAGGAAATAAAAAGGAACTCACCTTTAGGGATGCATATCGTTGACTTTTTTACGATACCGATACCACTGAACGATACCGATACTCAACCGATGCATATCGTGATACTTTGAAAATGTATCATCCCACAATTACTCCCATGAAGCGCTTTACGATATAGTTAACATGTCAAATGAATATTAAATTCAATTGTGGGACTTCTTGGACCTTTTAGTAGGCTACTGAACAAACAATGAAAAATACATTAAAGATATGAAGAAAACCGATTATGGAATATCTTTGATAACACCCGCCATCAGGTGTGCCGCGTGAATAGCACATCTTGTCAATGCAAGCAGACCGTTATAGCACCGTTAGAATTAATGTTAAACCTGTATTGATTTTATTATACATTTGTCCTCCTGCTCATTCAGCTTTTTCAAATATCTGCACCAATGAACCGGAGCAAAATGTGCTTTCAGTGAACTCATTGAACAATAATGAATCGTAATGTTCTGTGAAAAGTAGGGTTGATTTAAGGGGAATTGGGAAGTAGAGTGTTTTACATTACTTCACCTTTTTTAATGTGTTTGTCTTGTTAAAAAACAAAGCCCTTCTTTTGTTTCTGTTTCATGTTTACCTTCCCCCTCTTCCTCGCTGGTTTGAATGTTTGTTTTGATGCAGGTTTAGGTTTGCCGTGTGGTTGTGTTGGAATCTAACGCCACAAAAAATGGGCAGCGTCCGCTCAGATATTTGGGTTTCTGTGTAAATGAATATCATTTCTTGTCTCTGTCCTGCCAGATGAGACGATGATCATCAACGTTTTCTGCGGCGTCGTGTCCGGAGTGCTGTCCTCGTCTCTGGCAAACCCCACTGACGTCCTCAAGGTGATTAACAACATTTTTTGGACACGTTTTTTGCTTTGTTCACTCCAAAAAGCAAAGTGTTCAACTGTTCGCCTCATCATTTGTATGATTACTTTACTGCAGCGGTATGAACAAAATATCACTCAAATTGATTTCATTGCAAAAAACAGATCAGAAAGTTGCCGAGTTAACTGCACCATGATGCAGAGTTATTACATGTACTCCATTATATATTTTTATTTTGAATGTCAACTGCTGCCTGAACTTTATGATATCCTTTTACATAAATAAAGAATATTTCAACACACATTGGTGGATACAAATAAATAAAACCACCACTTCATTTGTGTCCCATCGATGTTGAAACGAAACCTAAACTCTTGTAAGATTTAAAACAAAGAACCAAGAAGGTTTTTTCATCTACTTAATGTCTAAAATATTTCAATTAATTAAAATGATCCAATGGCCTCCTCCCTACTGCTATCTACCGTCATACTCCTTAAACCACTGAGGGAAGTGCTGGGTTGTAAGTGATGGTGTAAACATATGTTTTTGTTTGTCTGTTTTTGTTCCAGATCAGGATGCAGGCGCAGGGCAGTCTGCTCCAGGGCAGCATGATGTCCAACTTCATGAACATCTACCAGACAGAGGGCACCAGAGGCCTGTGGAGAGTGAGTGAGAGTGAGAGAGAGAGGAGAGAGAGAGAGTGAGAGGAGAGAGTGAGAGAGTGAGTGAGTGAGTGAGAGAGTGAGTGAGTGAGTGAGTGATAGTGAGAGAGAGAGAGTGTGAGTGAGAGAGAGAGAGTGAGAGAGTGAGAGAGTGTGAGTGAGTGAGTGAGTGAGTGAGAGAGTGAGAGAGTGAGAGAGAGAGAGTGAGAGAGTGAGAGAGTGTGAGTGAGTGGAGAGAGAGTGAGAGAGTGAGAGAGTGAGAGAGAGAGAGTGAGAGAGTGAGAGAGTGTGAGTGAGTGAGTGAGTGAGAGAGAGTGAGTGAGTGAGAGTGAGAGAGTGTGAGTGTGAGTGAGTGAGAGAGAGAGAGATCCACATTTCTGATGCTGAAAACACTTTTTATAATATTTTACATGGAAAAAACAATAGGAGATTTTTTTTCTATGACTAATTGATGCAGGCTTTCTGTTTTCCAAGATTAAGGTCCATTCATTCTTTGCGAGAAATACATTTCAATTGAAAATATATGGTAATGTTCACAACGTGTTTTCATTGCCCCCCCAGTCGCCAAAAGATCTGTTCTGTTGTAAGAAATACCCAAACTTTAGGTACATTTTAACAAACTTACTCTTGATCACTGGACTTCAAATCACACTACGGCTGTACCCCAATATCTGAATATTCGGTCGTTGGCCTACTATTCGGGTTTCAATTTCGTTATTGGTTTTTTGATTTTATTTATTGAAATCTCCAATATCAACGTAAGAGCTTGTGCCTCTTCGGGGGGTGCTAACACTTAACCATAAACGTTATCGTTTACTTTCTCCGTCTTTATGTAGATATGACTTTTTCTCTGCAACGAAAGTAACAAAGACAATGCAATATCCTTTTCAATTTCAAAGAACACAAATTGGGTTAATTAAATTAACAAATAACTATAAAACAACAGTACTGTAGAATAACAAAATGAATGCCGTGATTAAACTGAAATACACGTGTTGAAGTTGTTCGCTGCTGATTACTTATTTCTAGTCTTTTAATGTCTCTAATGTTCAATGCCATGTCTTTTTATATTTCTGCAACGCAAACATTAAAAAAATTGTGATCAATAAAGTACTTCTTATCTTATATCAATTGAATTCTCCAAAATGATCTTATACGTTGTTTAATTGTGTGACAGTAAGATTTATTTCCTGTGTCGCCTCTCCTCCCCCTCAGGGTGTCATCCCCACGGCGCAGCGAGCGGCCATCGTGGTCGGGGTGGAGCTTCCTGTGTACGACATCACGAAGAAGCACCTCCTCAAGTCTGGCGCCATGGGAGACACCATTCTGACACACTTCATGTACGTTTATTAATTGTTTAACAGCTCAGGGATGGCAACCCTTTATAATCACACAGATATTGCAATAATAATCCGTATCATATAGAACAGGGGTTTCCAAACTACAAATGCGGACCATTTTGAATCGGCCCTCAGTTAATTCAAAAAATGGAATATGGCCCATAAATGAAACGTGTGCTTGTCTTATATTGTACTTCTTAAATATAAATGTAAACATAAATTACACAGTGGTATTCATGTGTTTTAATAATGGCGCATTTCCACTGCAGGGCCTCGCGCGGCTTAGTACGGTATCGTTAGGCCTCGTTAGACCAGGCTCACTTTCTGCTGCGTTTCCATCACAGTTTAGGAACTGGGGTAGTAACTATAGTAACGCAGTGTAGGCGGAGCCGTGACGTCATCTTCAATGTGAAACACCAAACCAACATCAGCCGTTAGCTGTTAGCCCTCAGAGCTCACAGCTCCTCATATCTGTTCAGAAACTAGACAGAAGTGAAACAAGTACAAACCACAGACTGTCTGTGTCATGGAGAATACAGTCGCTGGTTTGTTTATGTCTGTAGGCCGTTGTTGTGAGTGAGGACGGTCGGAGCATATACTGCGTTAGCTTAGCCGATCTCCATTCAGAAAACACACATTTTAAAAGGTTGTTTCGCCTGCTGTCTGTCTGCAGACTTGTCAAAGCATTAATTCATGGTTTTTACTAACCGGTATCAGTATGTTGTTACTTCGGCATCATTTTGAAACACGGTCAAATATAT